TTTTTTTTTTTTTTTTTTTTTTTTTTTTTTTTTTTTACCTTTATACCTTCACTGAATCAATAATGTGTTTATTTTCTTGGTCCCTCAGAGTTGACAGACTGCGTCATCAGCTATTACCAGTGTACACGTACGATCCTTCAGAGGAGATTAATGAAGCCGAACAAGAAATGTTGTGGAAAGAAGAGGACACAAGGGTAAGGCACATCAGTTTTTACAGTTTTGGATTCTTTACTTGGAAGTGCAAGTGGTAAAGCTTGCCGTTTTTATGCGACTCTTTCAGTATTGCTCCCATTGGAAGACATGGATTCTTGTGCCAAGCATGTTTAAAAGTTGCACAACCACGTTTTCTAAGAAAGGCAGAGTGAAGACATTCTCTTAATACTGTTTGGTATACTGTCTAATTATATTGGTTGCAAAATTTTCTTTAGCGTGCACCAGTTCCTCTACTGATTGGTCAGTTCCTCTATTGCATTCAGTTATAGATAGAAGTAGAGTAGAAAGGATGATAGTATTAGTAGTAGAACGAGTTTAGCCAGTTGTAATTTTATGGGAATATGGTCGTCAAATGACTCATAGTTATTAATATCTGACCTGAAATCTGCTCCATATAAATTAAACAATCTGCCTTTCTGGTTTAGTAATATCTGAAAAATCCTTTTATAGTCTTTTTTTCCCCTGACAAGTATGCATGTCTTTTCCCAACACAGAATTTTAACATCAGCTTATTTTTCAGAAAACAAAATGACAATCCTTCTCATTTTTCTCAGTCTGCCAGTAAAAAGCACTTTATTTTGAGCCGAGTCGTGCACTGAATCCTGATGCTCACTAGATGGCGATGTTCACTTTGTCCAAAAAGTTTGTCAAAAAGTTTTACTTCTTATTTGTCAAGTCAAGGTGGGGTTGTATAGATGGGAAAGGGACAAATGTGAGCAGTGCTTGAAAAAGCCCTTAATGGGTCAGTTTGCCCAAATTACAAAAAAAAAAAAAAGCCATGGAAAAAGTTCAGGTTTTGTCTGCCTGCGTTTTAGTGATAAATGTGTCCTTGTTGTCTTTAATCCAATACAGGGAGAGCAAATTAAATTTCAGTTAACCCTGAAAGTCCTGTTATGGAAGATATTCCACGGTTGTGCGGCTTTGGAAAGACATCGGGCTTTTACTGCATGAATCGAGCTTGGTTTACCTCTGCTGTGGAAGTTTGACATACAGGAATTTTATGATCTCGTTATATGAAACCGAGACTACTGTCAAATCATCATAGCTTGGTATAATTTGGTTTGAGTGCGAAAGTTTTGTTTAGTTCTCAGGTCCTCTCATGAGAAGAGATTTCACACTTGAGTAAACGTTTTTGCTCTTTCAAATAACTTTATTAAGCTGTATGCTTTTCTTTTTTCTTTTTTTTTTTTTCCTTTAGATTGTACAAAGTTGGGCGTCAAGTTATCAACAGCAACACCCTCTTCTGACCAAAGACGTCAATGCATGATGTTGGTAAACCCTGACATTGAGCACTGCGGGGTGTGACGACAAACCTGCAACCACAGAGATCAGTAATTTTTATCGTGATGTACAAACAATCGTGTACAATACTTCTTGGCTTTTATTTGCTTCCTTTTACTGTCGTCTCTGAGCACATCGGTGACGATGAGCATTTTCCTGTGTTCTCTTTTATGTACACTTTGACGTTGAACTTCTGATGCCGATCCTGTGTGCCTAACAGTCTCAGTACCTTAAGATTATTTATTTGAAATTATTTATTTAAACCTGTTTTTATTGAAAAATTCAGTGACATGACTCAAAGTTTCAAAGGTACAGGTACCTGTAGATTTTTAATCTGTTGTTTACATTTGCTATGTTGTTGTGGGCGACGTGTGGCAAGCTGTTATGTTCCTGTGGGTTGCAGTGAGCATTCGTACTAGCTGTGCTCTTCGTGGCACGAATGTGCTGTACCCTTTAAAAATCAGCAGTTCTGCTGCGAGAGGAATTGTGATCATTGCCTGTGCTGGTGATTTTAAACGAGTTGTGTGCAGTGCATTAGAAAAACAAATCATCCTCTGATAAAATGACTAGTGTAGCGTTCAACAGTTACATTGTTGCAAAACTCTCAGAAAGACTTTTAAACATGAAAGCCTCATTGCTGAAAAATAAAATTAGCAGCTAAGATCAAGCTGCTAAATTTGATTTCAGTTTCATTTTCAGTGAAATGATTGAACAGCTCGCTTTAGTTTTACTTTGCTTAAAGAATCTAACTCATGCCTGGAGATTCATGTCTCTTTGTGGTTTAGCCAAATCCTGTGACTCTTATCAATGGCATGAAAAGCCAGATAGTGGAAGTAAATAACACCAAACTCTCATCCCTAAAATGAGCTCTGACTAGCTCTCAAAATATGTCCTGTCTACAAGGCATGGCACCAACAAATTTGCCTCCAGCTGAAGAATCTGTTCAGATGAATGCCATAAGTCTGACTGTTTTAAGCACTCAGGAAGTCTTGCTCTTTTTTTTTCTTTACGAGTCATAACCTCCCCGGTTCCTTTTTTGCCTTGCATTTGTGAATGTAAACGAAGAACAATTGAACTGTTTAACTGCCCTCAGATGGGGGAAACATTACTCAGTCCAACAGCTAATGTATTGTACTGAGCATGTAATGCTCAAACATGTCATGTTATCAGTTATGACATCTAAAAGTGTGGGCGGCATGGTGGTGCATAACAAGCAAGAAAGTTCTGGGTTTAAACCTTTCTGTGTGGCATTTGTTTTCCCACTGTGCTTTATCCACAGTGTCAGAAGAAAATCCACACTCCAGGGCTGGCTCTGGGTGTGACTGTTGCTGGTTGTCTCAGCGCTAGTCCTTGCTTCCACCTGTCCGGGGAGTGCCCTACCTCTCCGTGGGTTGGGCTCCAGCCCCACCCTGACCCTCTACAGCTGTGGTTCTCAAAGTTTGGCTTACCATTTGGTGGTCTGTCATAGCGGTGCACAAAAAGATGTGGGAGCATTTCTATTAAATTGCAACACATTTAGCTGTAGTTATCATAGATGAATGAGTCTTATTAACACTGACAAATACAGATAGTGTAAGGAAATGTAACATCCACCTCAGTAATTGTTAAAGCCCAGCAAAGCACACACACAAAAAAGCAAATGCCAACATGAACCACTATTTGCTGAACAGGCACTTTAAAGTGTGGATTTTTCCTGGGTAGTCCACTTACACTGGCTCCCTAAACTTTGAGAACCCAGCTCTGCATTCTGGGATGGCCAACTAGTTATTATACCCAGAGGTGCTTATGTATCAGCCTAATTGTGTTTCTATTCTATGCATTGTCTAGAGTTTTTCAGCTTTTGTGAAGAATCTTATGAAATGAGCCATTCATCTTTAAAATTGTATCCACTGTTGACTTAGATTTGCACAGGTGACACACCAGAGGGGTTCAACTTTGAAGTTCAACATTGCAAGGCTTTCTTGACAAAACCTAAAACCCCTGTCAGATAAAATGGGTAATGGTGTTTTTCAACTGTTCAGGCAGGTTTTCTGCTTCAGCTTCTGCGAGCGCTCACATAAGAGGCGTTTCATTATGTGATTGATCCCTATGAGCCCAGCAGCTCTAGACATTATCAAGCAGTGGTGCACTCTCAGTGTGACTGCTTATTTCTCACATGTAGTACACCCCTCTGGTAAACTTTGCATGAAAGGCTGTGCATTCAGGTGATGTTTGATGACATGGACTGATGCAAATGTAATTTTGGGAACATTGTAACAATCTTTCTCCTTTTAGAATGTACATCCATTGGTTCAAGAGACTTGGTAAGGTAGTTGAAACGCTGGAAATATAATTTACTTTTGTAGATAGTTGCAATGCATCATTGTAGCCTGCATGAGCTGCACAGCAGAGTGCAATAATATGAACAAGTGACAAAGAAAATTCTCTTTATTGACCATTTTCTGATACAAATTGTTGTAGGGCACCATAGAAATATAGACATTGTACATTTATATACGTGTACATTAAAAAGAATGATCCCATCCTATTGAGTTTACAGTATATAAATCAACGGATGACTGACGTTACTATGTAAAATGACATGATATCAAGACTAGGAAGTTGATAGAGGACATGAAATGACCGTTGTACGAGTATGGTGAGGATGGCTACGTGTGGCAGTGGTAGACACACGGTGGCCAACGGAACATGGAAAAAGCGCCCAGTCCATCACAAACATTTGTCCATGAAAATCTGAACTAACATTTCAGTGCACCAGAAGATTTTTTTCTTAAAAGGATAAAAACACACTTGCTAATCTACCACAGTCAGCGAACACAGTCGTCAAGCTGACAGGTCTCCCTGACTTGCTTCACACATTTACAAAAACAAAAACCTGTCTGCAAGCTCCGGTTATGAATGAGCCAAGAAGTGTTGGTGTCGTCACACAATCACATGCTCGACCTCTTGGATTTCTCATTACAGTCAGGAGAGGAAAAAAAAAAAAAAATACAAACATTGTCAACTCATGCCAGAGGTTACATTAAAAAAAAAAAAGGAAAAAAAAAGAAAACCAGTTGCAATAAATGGTAAAATAAGCCGTTTGAGTGAGGTATGAAATTCCAGGCATTGTCTTGCCTGTTTGCAGTTTTCCGGGTTTCGTAACTGAGGTTGTAGCAGCTTAGGTGTGTGGAAAAACCCAGTTAAGTGGACTGTGACTGTGGGTTCCCTGACACTTAGAAATACACAAAAGTTTTCTTTAACCATAGCAGACGGCATACAACACACATCTTCAAAAGACTAAGGAAAAAGTTTCTTTTTATTATTACCATACTAAGTGATGACAGGAGGACCAAGCTAGGCGAAGCAGTCAGATCTAGATGGAATGAGGGGAAAAAAAAATAAAATAATACAGCCCTGTTGGATAGTAGTGCCACCAACTATCCTGTGTTACAATCAAACTCCTTGTCCGATCAATTGCAGTTTGCCTTATAAGTGATTGAGAGTGAGGGCTTGGAAAACTGAGGACCATGTGAGGACAAAGACGCCAAATGTAACAGCATTTGTAAAAGCTCCCTGAAGAAACGACACTGATGACTTTAAGCCTAGAACTCTGCCAACCTTAAAAAAAACACACATACGAAAGAGTTTTATTATAACATGAGAAGCAGCACACGTGTTTTAAAATGTAACCCGAAGGAACAAAAACAAAACAAAACAGTAAGTCAGATCGAGTCTAATGATACACTTTTACATCTCTCCACTATACGCAGAGAACTGAGAAGAAAGTCTGAGAAGCATCACTAAAATCTAAACTGTCCTACAGGAAGAGGGCTAAAGATGGTTCTCCTCTAATCGGGTGGGTGAAGTCAGTTATGCAGATTAGGAAAAGATACTTCTACCATCAGTTACCTATTCTCATCCTAAATGCTGAAGCTCAACTCCATCTAGAATACAATGCAAAGGATAGGTTAACCACTTCACACAAACACTCAAAACCAAAAAAGAAAAACTTTGAAGAAAAAAAAAAAAAAAAAAAA